AGGGTTTAGGGTTTATGGCTTGAGGGTTTTAGGGTATGAGGCTTATAGGGTGGGGCTTAAACGGCTCATAGAGCTCATAGAGGCTTTTGAGGCATATGGCGTTTTGCAAGTGACTTTAGGGCCTAGGAATAAGGAACCATGAGCGGATTTGGCCGTTTAACTATGAGTGGTTTCACGCCGATCAAGCTTTGCAGCAGTTTCGATAGGGCTTGGGATTCGGGTGAAGTGGGCGTTTACACGGGTTTAATACTTCCGGCTCTTTAATGAAGGGGCGGTAAGGCTTCGTAAGGCTTTAGAGGTTCTTTGAAAGTTCAAGCACACCCTTTATGATGTTTCCAGAGTGTTCTCTATACAGGGTACTGCACTTGTTTTGACGGCCGGTTTCACAACGATGCTGCGTGTTTTTCAAGCGTTGAAGCCGAGGTTGACCCTGAATCAGCTCGCTTGTTGCGAGTTGAGGAATGCACCGCGCCTCATAAACGGCGTCGCATCATGACTTACGGAATATGACCGCAGGGTTCAGGGTGCTTCGCTCGGGGCCGATCTCCCGGGAAGGGTCCGAAGTGGAAAGCCTTGTCCTTCCGACGGTCTTCCAGCCATCGGGCCCCTGAGCTAGCTAAACTCTTATGCCCTTGTGGAACCCTTGGTAAATCTAGCAAACCCTGTTACAACACCTATGACACCTCCATAATGCTTGTAGTTGGGAGATTGTAAATTGTAATACCTTGGATGAATCCTTCTCCTTGTAATGGTGGGCACAACAGGAAGCACAACAAAAGGCACAAGCCCGTAACGCCCTTCTGACCTGATCATAGAATGAAACTGGCTTAGACCTAAATACCACACCCTACAGCCTAAAACTTAAAACCCAATATCTTGAGGCCTGAATGTCAGCCCTTGTACACCAAACTCTGCACTTTCCGCTCCCCGAACATTTCAACCCTGGACAGAGCACTGGAGAGTCGCGTCACTTTTTCCGGAAGATGGTTTTTTTGGGGGGCAGCTTTGTTACTTTCATTCACGTCTGGGCCGAACCTGGGCCAAGACCCTGGGCAGGGCCCTGGGCATGGCCCTGGGCCGGGGCCCGGGCCGGCTCCGGGCCCGCAAGACAAGTTTCGTATTCAAGGCCTGTCCCTCCTTAAAATAGCTCCAACCGGCCTTATTTTCTTGTGCTCATTCTTGTGCTCTTTTTTCTGCTCTAG